ATAAGCTGAGAGTTGGTATGGAGCTTTTGTTCCATTAAGAACTTCAAAGCTCTTTGGTCAGTCCTGATGATGAACCTTTTGCCAAGCAGATGTTGAGACCATTTAGTGACTGCATGAACTATGGCTAATAGCTCTCTATATTACACTGAGAGTGCCATATGCCTGGTAGATAATGCTTTGCTGATAAAGGCTATGAGGTGTCCTTATTGCATGAGAACAACACCAATCCCATGTCCATTGGCATCAGTTTCAACAACAAAGGTTTTGTTAATATCAGGAAGTGTCAATATAGGAGCTTTTGTCAAGGCTTCCTTTAATTCTTCAAAAGCAGCAATAGCTTTGGGCGACCATTTGAAGTTACCCTTCTTCAAGAGGTCTGTTAATAGTTTGCAAATAATCCCAAAGCTTTGTATGAACCTTCTATAGTAGCCAACTAAGCCAAGAAATCCTCTCAATTGTTTAATGTTGGTTGGTATGGGCCAGTTTCTGACGACTTCTATTTTTTGAGGGTCTGTTGATACTCCTCCTTCAGTAATGAAGTGGCCTAAATACTCTATCCTTTTAACTCCAAAGAAACACTTACTCTCTTTAGCAAATAGATGGTGTTTCTTCATTTCAACGAATACAGATCTGAGATGCCCCAAATGATCCTCCATGCTCCTACTATAGATGAGTATATCATCAAAGAAAACTAGTACATACTTTCTGAGAAAAGCCTGAAAGACAGAGTTCATCAAGCCTTGGAATGTTGCTGGTGCATTTGACAGACCAAAGGGCATCACCAGGTACTTATAGTGTCCTAAGTGAGTCCTAAATACAGTCTTAGGAACATCTTCTTTTGCCATTCTCAATTGATGATATCCAGACCTTAGATCTATTTTAGAGAAGATCTTAGACCCTTTCAATTCATCTAACAGATCTTTCAGCATAGGTATGAGAAACTTATTCTTTATAGTGTGCTTATTTAGGTCCCTATAGTCAATACATAATCTCCAAGACCTATCCTTCTTCCCAACTAAGACAACAGGGGCATCAAAAGGACTGTTGCTAGGTTGTATAATTCCCTGGTCTAACATTTGTTGTACCAGGGATTCTATCACATCTTTCTTCACTGAAGGATACCTATAGGGTCTCTTATTTATAGGTTCAGTTCCTGATTGCAACAACACAATTCTGTGGTAAAAGACTCTTCTAGATCGTGGTAACTGTTTAGGTTCCACAAACAATTCTTTAAATTCTTTCAGTAAGGTTAACAGTTGTGGATCTACATTGTTTTGTTCTTTATACTCTAAGAAATACCATTGTAACTCATTACACATAGTAGGTATTACTTGAATCATACAAAGCTCACAATGATTACCTATAGCTCTAGTTAATCTCCCCACTCTAGTAGCTATGACATGTTTCTTGCTCCTCTTAGAACGTGCTTCCTTGCTTTGTAGTAGAACTCTATAGTAAGAGTTGTTAAATTCATCTTTATATCTCCGAGCGTTAATAGCCACTGAACTCTAAGCACTACACCACATGATCCTAGAGGCAATAACAAAAATTCAGCAGAGAATTCAACCCCTTACAACAACTAAGAAATTTTGTGGTAAAAGACTCTTCTAGATCGTGGTAATTGTTTAGGTTCCACAAACAATTCTTTAAATTCTTTCATTAAGGTTAACAGTTGTGGATCTACATTGTTTTGTTCTTTAGACTCTAAGGAATACCATTGTGACTCATTACACATAGTAAGTATTACTTGAATCATACAAAGCTCAGAATGATTACCTATAGCTCTAGTTAATCTCTCCACTCCAGTAGCTATGACATTTTTTCAGAGTGAAGTAAATACCATATTTTCTTTTACAAATTCGTCACAATTTTGTAATGGACCTGTCCGTTATGAATATTCTGTCACAAATATGTATTTGTCTTGCATAAATTGGTAAAATAACCCTGTCAGTTATGACAATAAGCAAATAGATATACGAGATCAATTTATCATAGAAGCAGTTTAAAAAGGTGAAATTTAGCTCAAGTGCTACAAGACTCAAGATGAGAGAGCAGATATTTTGACAAAGGCACATCATAAGGATCATTTGTTTCTATCTTAGAGAGTTACTTGGACTTGTAAAATAATTGCGTTAAAAAGAAATGTTAAGATTAGTGCACTTTTAATTGTATTCAACTTCTAGATTATTTAGAAAAAATTTAGCTAGTCAGTCTAGAATAGAGCAAGTATGCGTCGAGTCAATAAAGAGAGTGGTAAAGTTTGTTAAATTTTTGAGAGACTGACATAATTGGCTGTTCGGCACAAACATAAGACAACCACTAGCCCATTATATTTGATTGCAAGTTATAGCCTAAAACTTATTGCATTGGCTACAACAAAACATGGGGAAAGTGCACGGTTAGCCACTAATAACACATGTATTTATTTTTAAGCCTCTGTTTAAAATGTCTTTAGTATTTAGCCACTACTTTAATAAATTTTAACTGCCCAGACGAAAATATCCTTCTGTTCATGTCCTTAACTTTTGAACTTAACTTCAGGACTACATGTCCTTAACTTTTGAACTTGTAACTCTAAGTTCAGGACTTCAGGACTACATGTCTTTAACTTTTGAACTTAACTTCATGACTTTAGAGACTACATGTCCTTAACTTTTGAACTTGGAACTCTTAGTTCAGGACTACATGTCCTTAACTTTTGAACTTAACTTCAAGACTACATATACTTAACTTTTGAACTTGGAACTCTAAGTTCAGGACTACATGTCCTTAACTTTTGAACTTGGAACTCTAAGTTCAGGACTAACTCCAGGACTACATGTCCTTAATTTTTGAACTTAACTTCAAGACTTTAGGGTCCTTAACTTTTGAACTTGGAACTCTAAGTTCAGGACTACATGTCCTTAACTTTTGAACTTGTAATTCTAAGTTTAGGATTCAGGACTACATGTCCTTAACTTTTGAACTTGGAACTAAAACCAAACAAAAATAGGATAACTATCCCATATAAATAAATAACATGGGTTAAAACAGAGTTCGTTGTGACTTGCGGCCTACTCTGTTCTCTCACATTCTTCTACCCAAACAAAAGCCTCAAATAATACCAAATTTTATCTCATGAATTGGGTTCGTGGTGAAGTTGTTGGTCAAGCATTGGGTTCGTGGTGAAGCTGTTGGTCAAGCAAGTTTTGGAAAAGTCAATTTTGCAATACCCACAAAGCAGAATACTCAAATTCTTCCATTGATGGTAGTAAAGTCATCTTGGGTTTCCCACTCTGCTACTCTCAGCAACGAGAAGAAAAACGTATTTTCGTTTGGGAAGGAATGGGTAACACTGTCTTTTCATATTAATTTTAATAGACTAGTGGCTACTTTTGCTCAGCATTAAAAATACTGAATAAAAAGTAAATACCACTTTAAAAAGTGGCTACCGCACACAATTTTTACACAAAACATTCGCTAACCCCACCTTATTTTTTTATTCTGCCTCTTTGCTATGCCCAACTCCACCATCCAAACAATTATCATAACCCTTCATAATTATTAGTGTTTACTTTCTCAATTTGACAGTTTCTGTAATATTAATTGCTGAATTAGTGGTTGCAAATACTAGTTTTTTTCCTATAAAATGAAAGAAATAAAATTTGAACTTAACAAGTAGACTATTATCAAAATTGAGCACTGCACTCAAAATTGATATCACATTAATTTAAACTACAAATCTAGGCCGAAGATGTCCTTTGCTTCCTTGTATTTCCAGTCCATTGAAACCCAATTCAAATGTGTACCATGCTGATTGTAAATGTAGCCATAATCTGCGTCAATTTGAATGCAGCAACCCATCCCACGCGTATAATATTTTCCTTCGATCCCCTTCCTGTTGCTGCGCCGAAAAACATTTTCTCGAATTGTGCAAATCAAGTGCATGCTCAAATGTCCAAAGCATTCCCAATAAAACACGTCCCATCTATTTGTTGTCGAAACCCCATGCACATGCCTTCTTGTTGGACGCGTTTCTTCAAAGTCACGCTCACCTCATGCGTATGCCATCCGTGCATCTCCCACATTGAGAGAAACAATTCGTTGTCTAGCATGTGATACATTTCCAGCGTGCAATTCCATGTGAAAACAGGCGTGCATCCCTGATGGAATTTAAAGTCCTCCCAAAAAAACATGCCCCAACTGCTTTGGTTGTGAAAGCTGCCAGCATCCATGCGTGCATCAAGATCTCCTATGTTTGCTGCTGTTATTGGTTTTGTCGAATAGTTGTTTTGTCTCTTGTTTCCATAATGCGTGTCGATTCCATTAGCCATGTGTGTTCTGCAGACACATTCATTGTCGACCTACTGAAGCGTGCTAGTAAATTGCAGGCGTGCGTTGATTCCTCTGTCCCCATTGCTTAATGGTTGGAGCATGGTTGTAACGTCCAAACATTAAAAAATTAAAATTGTTGCTCCTTTTGATTCTAAAAGCATCCATCACATGCTTTTATGTATCCAAGATAACTTTCCATGGGTATTACACTTTTCCATGTGATACTTTTGTTCAACAGCATGTGTTGTCTGGTGGTTTGTAACACCCAAAACGTGAGATTCCATCTTTTGTAGAAAAGCTGAATTGTCTTATATTTCCAAAATGCATGCTGCATTTCCTAGAAATTCCCTAGCGTGCTGGTGCATTCTCCAAGCGCATTGGCATCTATTATTGTCCAGAACTTCACGTGCCCATCTTGTTTTCCCATCCTATTTCAGTACTTCCCTTTGATGTGAATGACTGTCATGAAACGAAAATTACAAAAATGCCAAAGCCTACCTTTAGTGTCCTCCCAGTGGATTGAATGCAATGCAATAATACCACCACTTGAGATTCTACTATAAGATTAGGCTTTAGCTTCGATGATATACCTACAAAAAAATGAACAAAGTTAGCCGAAAAATTGCTATCCAAACTCTCCTCAAGAATGATTCGAGTGTGATAACAAAATGAATCCTCTTTTCCTCCTAATTCCTTGCAACCTTCACTCTTATGTAAGGGCATTGCATCTTATCTTCGTTAATAATCATCCTTCCTTTTGAGTCCATATCCCAGAAACCATGGCATTCAGTATTTCCTTCATCTAGAGCATAATTGGCAAGGTGGTCTGCTAATGTATTCCCTTCTCTGAATATGTGTGTGACCTTGATGATACTTTGTTCCTTCAATCTTAAAATCTCCTCTACATGTTCAGTAATATACCAAGGAGGCTTCCATGATTCCTCTATAATGTTCTTTAATAGCATAGAATCTGTCTGCAGCCATATCTGGAAATAATTAAGATTTTTGCACATCTTCAATGCCTCCACAATAGCTACCGCTTCTGATTCATTGTTGGTTCCTTCAAAAATCTCCCTTCCTTCTTCATATATCAAATCACCTACCTCATCCCTTATGCAGAAACCAATTGAACTCCTCTATGGGTTCCCTCTACATGCTCCATCCGTATTCACTTTGATCCATCCTCTTGAAGGAAATTCCCATAACACTTTATCATATTTCAGTCGAGGTGTGTATTGCTCCATCATTGTCAGTAAGTCCAGCCACTTGTGAGGCACATGTAGTCCAGGCTTTTTCAGTTGGACTAGAGCTTGCATAGTAGATGACACCTGGTAAATAACTCTGCTCACTGACACTGCTTCTCCATATTTTAAACTGTTTTTTCTCTTCCAAAGTTCCCATACAATGCATGCAGGTAGAGCTTGTAACACTGGCTTCAATCTAGGTACAACTGGTGCTGTCCAACACTTTGTAATTGCTTGATGTAATGACAACCCATCTAATGCAATTCCTGCTCTCCTCAGGAAGTAAGTCCAAACACTTCTACCTGCATTGGATGTGAAGAACAAATGTAGTAATGACTCCTCCTTAGGATCAACACAGCACCAACATTCAGATGGCATGGAGTATCCTAGTTTACGCAAGAAATCATCAAATGGCAGTTTGGCTTTACACAGGAAGAAGGATATCTTGAAAGGTAAACCTTTTACCCATATCATCTTGTAAGCTAATCTTGGGTTGGCTCTTCTTCGCAGGTAATCCCATGCAGACTTTACTGTAAAATGTCCCTTTGTTTCAAGCATCCAGAAAGGAGTATCTAACTGTGAACTTTCAGTTGGTGGTCTAATATTCTGCACAATGTGGTGTGCCAAATCTTCTGGTAGGCTCTCAAACATTTTATCCGCATTCCACATACCATTTTCAGCCAGATCATTGACATTATGAATATCCTCATCGATACCAAACTCTGCTAGTACTTGAAAATATAAGGCTCCCATCTCAGTCCAATTGTCGTACCAAAATAGAGCTGATCCCATTCTCAGTTTCCAGTAGATTTAATGCTCAATCAAGTCCCTACATTCTAGCATTTTTCTCCACACGTGGGATCCATGCTTCTAAGGTACAATTACTGCATTCAGTTTCTTGCAGTACTTTTGACTCATAAAAGAACTCCACAAACTGGGCTTAGTCCTGAAATTCCACTATAATTTGTAGAATAGTGCCTTGGATACATCATGTAGGGACCTGAAACCTATGCCGCCCTCCTCATAAGGCATACAATGGTTAGTCCAAGACGCCCAATGTCTAGTGCTGCCTCCCACATTGCTGCTCCAGAAAAACTTGGCAAAAATGCTATGTAATTTGTTGATCACATAACTTGGTAGATTAACTGCTGACAACATATGAATTGGGATACTCTGCAGGACATTTGCAATCAAAACAGCTCTGCCTCCTACAGAAAGGAGTTTGCCTTTCCATGAATGCAGTTTGTCCATAACCTTGGTGATTAATCCCTGGTAATAGTCTCCCCTTCTTCTTGCATAAAAATAGGACAGCCAAGATAGGTCATAGGGAAATATTGTCTTTGTATACCTGTAATCCTTTCCACCTTGTTAATCACCTCATTATTCGTTAAGTGATGCAGGTATATGGCTGATTTGGCTTTGTTCACCAGTTGACCAGATGATGATTCATAAGCTTGCAAAACCTGCATCACAAGTCTCAATGAAGTTTCATCAGAAGAGCAGAAAATGATCGTATCATCAGCGTATGATAGATGATTTATTTTTGGGCTCCATTTTGGCATTCCAAATCCACAGAAATACAGGTTAGTGTGTAGTGAATTCAATCCCCGAGAAAGTGTTTCTGCTGCTAGAATGAATAGAGTTGGTGACAAAGGGTCACCCTATTTAACTCCCCTCGATGATTTGAAGAAACCATTAGGCTGACCATTTATAAGAATAGAGTACCAATTGTTCCCAATCAAATCAAAGATCAAGCCAATAAGAGCTTCAGGAAATCCCATTTTTCTTAGTATTTTGGTCAGGAATAGCCATGATAGCCTATCGTAAGCTTTTGTCATATCAAGCTTAATCACAACGTTTGGACCTGCTTTTGTTCTCAACCTGATATCCTTAATGATTTCTTGAGTTAGCAGTACGTTCTCAACTATGCTTCTGCCCTTCACAAAACTTGCCTGTTCCTCTGAGATTATGTTTGGTAATAATTCAACCAACCTCTCATGAATAACCCTAGAGAAAATCTTGTTAGCAAAGTTGCTAAGACTGATTGGTCTCATGTCTGCAAAGGTCATAACTTCTTTTTTCTTTGGTAATAAAACCAGGTTTGTGTGTGTCACACTCTTTGGCAACTGCTGACCGCAAAAGAAAGCCTTGACCATGCTTACTACATCTTCAATAATTTCCCAGCATGTTTGGTAAAAGGCTCTAGTGAATCCATCCGGTCCACCAGCTGAGTCCCCATTCAACCCCATAACTACGCTCTTCACTTCTTCATTGGAAGGCAAAGCCATCAATCTTTCATGTTGATCACTATCTACCATTGAAGGTACATGATTTAGAATATAAAAATCATTTGGAACTGCACTCTCTGTAAATTGATCCTTGTAGAACTTTATTGCTTCTTCTGCTATTAAGTGATCTTCTTCAATCCAGTTACCAAGGCTATTCTGGATCCTTGATAATTTCAGTCTCTTCCTTCTCCCATTAACTTGGTCATGGAAGACTTTAGTGTTTCTATCGCCATCTTTGAACCATAACATGCCAACTTTTTGTCTCCAGAATTCCTCTTCTAATGCAAGATATTTAATCATTTCATCTTGGACCTGTTGTAATCTTTGTCTATTCATCTGTGTAGGATTGACTTCAAATTGTCTTTTATGAGCCATGACCACCTCCTCAAGGCTTGCAATCTTCTGGAATATATCCCCATATGTAGCTCTGCTCCAGGTAGATAGTGCTTGTTTAAGCTTCTTTAACTTGTAGTTAAAAATGCAGAAAGGGTTAGTACTAAAATCAGCATTCCAATTCTCCTTTACTACATCTTTGAAGGTTTCATGCTTTGTCCAGAAGTTAAGAAATCTGAATGACTTCTTAATTGGCGTAGTTTCTATATCACATTTCAGCAGCATTGGGCATTGATCAGACCCAATTTAGGATAGGCGAGTTATCTCCAATCCAGGAAAGGTTTGTTGCAATTCATTATTGCCAAAACATCTGTCCAATCTTTTAAAAATGCATTCCTCCTCTAATCTTCCATTCCACCATGTAAATATGCTTCCTTTAAAACCCAAGTCTGTCAAGTTGCAGGTATTGATGCAGTGTCTGAAGTCATCTACTTCAATGAGAGAAACTGGCAAGCCCCCATATTTCTCTTTCTCATCCTATATCACATTAATGTCGCCTCCAACTAGCCAAGGTACTGTCATATCTGATGCCATTGCATACAACGTATCCCATAGTTCTATTCTTTCAGTGCGTTCACATTTGGCATAGACTAGTGTAAGGATGAGCTCAACATGTGTTTCAGAGTGCATCAATCTCAAAGTCAGCTGTTGAGTCATGTTATATAAAATAGTAACCTCAAAAATTTCATCAATACAAGCCCAAATCTTGTTTGACACATTCACCACAGCCTGTGCCAAACCAATTCTTGCTCTATACCTCTCCATTTTGTGAGACTGTTGCATAGGCTCAAGGATTCCTATGAACTCAAAATGATGTTTTCTGTGCATTGTAATCAGCCTTTCAAATGCTTTTATTGTGTTTACTGACCTGATATTCCATATAATGGCATCCATTAAATGTTTTGGGATTTGGACAGTGTTCTCCTTGTTTGTACTCCACTAACTGGGACAATAGAAGTCTCTTTTGACTGTTTCTTTTTTCCCTTTGTTGCAGATTTACTAGTTCAATAAGCCTTGGCGATAGATCTCCCTGCTTGGCAACATTAAGGAAATTTTGTGCAGTGGATTCCTCATCCATGTCTCTACCTTTAAGTTCTGCGTGGTTAACTTGATCATGTGCTTCTAGTGCTTTTTTTGATGTAACAATATCCTCTGCCTGGTTGATAAGTTCTGCATCTTTTTCAGCATGTTCATTGGTCAACAACATTGTATTGTTCAATGGAACGTTACTTCCTGCTAAATCCTGCACGGTGCTCAATGGAACAGTACTTCTTGCATAAACCTGCACTGTCATAGCTCGGTTCTTGTCTGCATTTCTCATCTTGGTTCTTGTCTGCATTTTCAGCTTCTTTCAAGGCATTACTAACAACATTATATGAAGTCCCTCCTGGATCTATAATATTAATGTTCCCCTCTTTTGTCTTTTCTGTTGCTGCATTTGTGCATTCGCTGATGCTTTGAATATTGATTGCATTGGCATTACAATTAACAATTTGATCCTCATCTTCCACTTCATTTCCTCCAAATTCTTCATCACTATGCATTGTATCTGGAATCTGACCATCTGCTAAGTCTTCCTCTGTTTGGTTGAGCCATAATCTTCCTCCTGCCCATTTTTCTTTTTCATTGGTCCTGAATTTCTCAAAATCTGTATCTTCAACAAATTCATTTTCTTTGTTGTTTGCTAATTGTTGTTCAACATTGGTGTCCTGTGAAGGAATGTCTTGACATGAAGTATTGACTTGAACTACATTATTTTTGAATGCTTTTTGGACCCAATGGGCAGTTGACTCATTGCGAAAATGCTGCTCATTCCCCAAATCTTTTTGTACACAATGAGCTGTTGATTCCCTATTTACTGCATGATTTTTTATTGCTGTAGGATTGAAAGTAGGTGTTGCAGGGTTCAGTTTCTTGGGTTGTGTCTTGGATGATTGTCTCCTAGATGAGTTAGGAGAAGTTACCTTTTGTACTATTTCTCTAGTTGAAAAATCAAATTCCTGCTCCTCTGACTCATTCTCTACACTTGTTGTGGAGTTATTTTGCTGAATATCATTGTTGCCTGTGGTTTTTTGAACTGGAGTTTCCTCCACAGCTGCCAATTGGTTACCTTCGTTAATCTCACCATTTTTAATTTCTAGCACTGCAAATTGGTTGGTTGTTTGTATTTGTTTTTTCACAGCTGTATTGTTAACAAGAACTATTTCTTTCCCTTCTACAGTAGTACCTTCAGATTGTTTGCCTTTGTTTAGTCCCCTATTGTTGCGAACTTCCTTCCATTGAGGGCCTGCATTACCAACTACCTTACCACTAGTAAGGATCATTAAGGGAGCATCATGTTTTGCAGGTTTACTATTGCCTTGTTTCACATTTTCGACATTTTCCTTATGCTGGACATTTTTGCTTTCCCTTAAATCAGAATTAATTCTCCAACATTCAAGCATGTCATGGCCTTGTAACTTGCAGTCTTTACAGTACTTTGGCAAATAATCATAGTTAATGGTTACCCATTCAGTTCTTACATCCCCATTTACGTCATTGACAATGTCCATTCGAACGTTCTTTGGGAGGTCAGCTAGCAGATCCACCAACACTTTAACACGAGCACAGCTAGGTCTAGTTTTCTTGATAGTAGCCAAATCTAAGTGAAGGGGTTTACCTACAACAGAAGCTAGAGAGAACAAGCATTCTCTGGCAAAATAGGTAGGCAGCAAATTAGGGAATGAAATCCAAGCCATTACCTTAGGTGTCTCCTCTCCAACTTTAAATTTTGCATCATAGATCAATGTTCTCAGTTGATATTCATCCCCATGCTTATCCTTAACATAGTACACACCTTTTGACGAGAAATCTACGTAATCTTGCCATAATGAAAATCGAATCAAAATGTGCATGTCACGAAGATATCCAATGTTGCATTCAGCTTTGATACCACACTGCATAGGTACAATTCGACATATTTCATTGATATCTGGCCATCCGTATGAAAATTTGCACACAACTGCCTATTGCATTCCTTCAATATAGTTCATACGTTCAACTTCTGATTCTGTAAAGCATACCGTTGGTTGTCCTTGAAAGAATTGGGCTTGTCTAGGGGGGATAGGATCA